AAATTTCAGAAAAAAAGTATTTTTAATATCGGTCACAAAATTTCAGAAAAAAGTATTTTTTAATATCGGTCACAAAATTTCAGAAAAAAGTATTTTTTAGCGAAAACCGAAAACCTCTTATCAGATTGTTTCAAAGATTGTTCTTCAAGTATATTTTGTGCTCGAAACACACTCTTTCTAGTCCACTTCTGAAGTTCTTTTATTCGGATTCGGACAATGAATGATTTGGTCACCACCTTTTCTCAAAATACAAATTATACAAAAATTGGAAGTTTCTCAAGCTTATCAATTATTAAAAGTAAATCGTTCCTTTATTCTTCTTTGTGGACCAATTTCATTAAATCTTGACCTTATTACCGTAAGCTTGGTGAATCTGACCGAGAGAGGTGAGTTGAATTGAATCAGAACAAAGCAGAAGTTATTCAATTCGGATTTCATCGGGTCTTATTCAGCTTTCAATTCAATTCAATTCCGATCCGAGTCCTTTTTGATCCGAATTTAATAAGATCTGATCTGATCCAAGTGCTTTTCTGTTCTGTCTGGACACTTTGTCATAAATCTGTTTTTTAAATGAAAAGCTTATGAATTAATTAATAGTTTGCTTCAAATAGAAGATCTTTATTGCTATAAAACGTATAAAAGATATCAAGGGCGAGAGAATTTGAACCGAGAAAGATTGAAGAAAAAGATCACGATGAAAGGCGAGAGTTAGTTCAATATTATTAGAGATTAATGTTTTCAAAAACGAACATGTTGCGGGCTGTGCATTGGCAGATGAATGGGTGGCGATGGCTGGTTGTTGCTGTCGTCGCGGTGTCGGATGAATGGGATTCGATCGATTGTTTGCCCCGATCCTGTGCGATGAATCGTGAAGGCCATGCACCGATTCTGTGGTCAATGCAATAATCTCTTCCTTTTTCTCATTAGAAAGCTTTCCTTTTTTCTATCACAAGTCATTCCAGACATTTTGCTTTAAAATAACACCTGTCTTTTTCTATACTTTCCATTACTGACGTCAAAAAAACAATTGAAATTAATTAAAAATCAAATTTTTAATTAGCTTAGTAATCGCAAAAAAATCCAATGGAAAACCAGTAGATTTTGACTTTATTCTTTTTACAAGGTAAAATCCAAGGTTTTTAGAGCAATTTTAATTTAAAATTTAAAGCAAAGAGATATTGTATAAGAGATATTTTCAGTGCTAAAAAAATATGCGAACAAAACTTTAAAAAAAAAATGCCGTTAGCATCGCTCGTTTCTGATAAATGAGAGCTGATACCCATCGGGCAGTTTCTTTTGCACCACCCTAATAGGAGGGCTTAGTCATGCCAAAAAATAATCCCAAACTTGATGGTGGATTTTGGTGCCTTTTCGAGAGTCTGAATGTGCTTCTTCTCGAGTCTCGGATGCCTTTGCGAAAAGGAAGATTTTTAACAACTTTTCCTTGCCAATTCCTTCATTTTATCGGCTCATTGATAGTCAATAAGGCTAAGATAAACTTGATCAAACTTAATGCAACTCCAGCTGTTAATCGGTTGATAATCAAAGTTCATCTACACTTTATTCATCTCCAATTTCTAGGCGCTGAGGTCCCGAGATTCCATGTGATTCGCTCTACAGATGCCCATCAACCGAGCAAATCCCTTCACATTTCCAACTTGTTTCCTTAAAATCATCAATCAAATGGTCTCCTTGTTAAGCTTACTCACTTTCAAGCCTAATTCTTGAGTCCAACATCATTCATTTCAATCTGTGTCTTCTCATCTTGTTCCAATTTGCCTTAGACAAAGTCCTTACAAAGTCCCACTCCTCGTCTAGTCCAATTTTACAATCCACTTTAATCAAATTGTTATTTTCTTCGAGAACATAGTCAATTTTACTTGATATTCAAAATATCTTATCTTTGTTTTAAAATTTCTCTAAAGAATCCACAGCCTGTGCGGGTTTTTTATACTTTTCCGTTTTCCACTAAAAGAAAAGTGATGTTTTTGTGATCGTTGGTGTTTTGAAATAAAAAATTAAAAGAAAATCGTTGACAGGACCAGCAACAAGTGCAGAATGACAAGGAAAACTTCTTCTTTGCAACTAAAACAAATTTGATTAAGCCAAATTTGAAGCGTTTACGAGTTTTGTAAAACAAAAGAAATTCGGTGATTATCTTCGTACTCGATGGCATTTGAACATGTAGGTATATTCGACGTTTTACGCCAATTTATTTGACTATTTTGCTACAACAACAGTCAACCAAATTTAAAACATTATCATTCACCAAAGAATGCTTTCATTGGTATCCAAATCATTGAATTCTATTCCCTGGAGAAGTTCGACTCCATCCAATTTTTGTCAACCTTTGCATAGACCTACGTTTATTCATTCTTCAGCATCGTAGCTTGTAATGGAGTCTTCTCTCACTAATTTTCTTTCTAGAGGTCACCTAGTTTTAAAAATGACTGTCTTCAAACGTTCAGCTTTCAATTGATCAGCTTAATTTTAGTCAAATTCAATCTGCAAATCACAAGCCTCAAAAACTTCAGGTGTTTGTAGCAAATAAAAAATTTCAAAACTGAGGCTAAAATTTCAATGTCGCGGGCTTCGAATTCAAAAATTTGGAGCTGGTTTAATTTCTGTTTGTCTGTTTAATTGTTAATTTTCATTGGATCAAACCACTCAGAAAGCTTACCATGATACCTTTCCAATGACTTTGATAATAAAAATTGCTTGACAAAGATAACTGGCCACAGCACATCCCACAAAGATATAGGAGCTCTACATGGAAAGATTTAACGCCTAACAAGCAGCTGACATAGCTAACAAGCAGCTGTCACACCTAAGAAGCAGCTGACATTTAAGTCTCGTCGTCTTTCGAGTTTCGAAAATAAAAATCTTTTCTAGCTTACTTAAGCTAGCAATAATGACGAAATAATCAAAATAGACTCAATTCTTGTTTCAAAGTCAAAGTTGTTTCAAAGAAGTTGTGTTCTTCAAGTATATTTTGTGCTCAAACACACTCTTTCTAGTCCATTTCTGAAGTTCTTTTATATATGTTTCGTATTCGGACAATGAATGATTAACATTTGCATTTGTTCAGAGAGAAAGAAAATTCGACAACAATTCTATGAATTCTAGTAAGAGAGCCGATTTGGAGTAATTCGAGGTGAAAAAGGAGATCATTCCAAACGTTAGTCGAATTCTGTAAATGTTTTCAGTTAAATTTTGATAGTTTAGCTGGAGTTTATCTAAAGTGAATGATTTTACTGGATTCTAACAAAGAACGGTTTCTAACTGGATTCTAACACCAGGAAAGGCTTTTAACTGGATTTTCCCTGTAAACCAGAAAAAGCTAGAGCCAGGCCTTGGATCTTCTTTGAGCTGCTTGTCTCTTCCTGGTGCAGCCGAGTCTTAGCTTAACCTAACTTAAACCCTAGGGTTTTAATAATTTTGTTGGGCTTTTTATAGATTTGTTGATAATCCGTCAATCATTGATCATTGATCATTAATGTCATTGTTGTTTTACCTTCAAAACTCACCCGTATATGGCTACGACTTGATTTTCACGAATTCATAGGGTGTACTTGACGACGGTGTAGCACCACTGAATCTCAAAAAGTCCCGCTGCAATTGACGCAATGATCCTTGATTCTGAAAATTGAGATTTTTATGGGTGTTGTTTTGAAAGTTTAAAAGCTCGATGCTTAGTTTAAATGCTAGATGAAATCTCTTTACTTTAAAGCTAAATATTTGAATCATAAAAACACAAATTTAAATGGATAAATCTCCCCTTTAAAGGCTTTTAACTGGATTCCAACACCAGGAAAGGCTTTTAACTGGACTACCATTACAGAAATTCGTTTAAAGTTCTAGCATTAAATTAAAACGAACCAAAGAATGAAACATGCACATGTTCGGTTCCTCATCTTCACCATTTGGACAATCTCGATTTCCATTACACAATTCAACCGCTCTGATACAAGGCCAATCAATTGGATCATGCCGCTAAAATAGGAACATTTAAAATATCTATCTTACTCGAGTAATATCGGAACAAGCTATGGTACCCTTCAAAGCACCGCTGATATCTGGCACCACACAACTCACTCTAAGTGAAGGACAAGGAGCCCATTTTTCTGTGGAAAATCTTTCTGCTTGACACCAGCAGGAAAAACAGCGAGAAACCTCGCCGAACCGCGCTTTTTTGCCTGGCCAACTTCTATCTTTTCCTTAACAATTTATCAATAAATCGTATTTTTATTCTGAAAACTATATTCTTAATATATTCTTATATTCTACTCTTATATTTTACTCTTAGTATATTCTTAACATATTCTCCTCTTTTATATCATCTCTTTCACTTTTTCCCTCTTTATTCAAATTTCAGATGACTTCTGTACATTCGGCGGGTCCATCAATGCAAGTGTACAGCACCGAAGTCACCTCATTTTCCCTTCCCTACGCTTTTTTGTTCATTTTCGGTACCCGGAACACCGTACTCTTCCCGAAGCACTCCTCCTGAAGTACCGTACTCCTGAAATACAGTACTGAGCACCTTTTATAATACAGGCCTGTTATAATACATGCCTTT